AACCCTTCCACCCAAACAGAACACAAACAGCCCATCCTCCATAACAACTAAACCATTAGCCATAAGCATCATGCAAACCCAATGGATAGAAAAAGCTTAAAAAGACTTACCCCCAAGATTCCCAGTTGCAGGAGCTGATGAGCAACTACCATCAGGGAATCTTGGACCAAACTCAGTACCAAGTTCGCAATAACCTACTCTTTTACAAGTGGAGGTTACATCTGGGAAACTTGGTGCCATTCCAGCAAGAGATCTTGCAACAGTTCCATAGCAGTCCATTAGGGGGGCCACACAGAAGTATATAAAACATTTGCTCGAATAAAAAAGGAATTTTACTGGCCTGATATGCGAAGGGATGTTCGAGCCTTCATCTGAACTTGTGATATATGCCAAAGAAACAACATGGGAACAATTCAGCCCACAGGCCTACTCCAGCCTTTGCCAATTCCTACCAGAAATTGGCAGGATATAAGCATGGATTTCATTGAAGGGTTACCACCTTCAGAAGGGTGTACAGTGATCATGGTGGTGATAGACAGTTTGAGCAAATATGCTCACTTCATGTCTCTTTCACATCCATATACAGCAATAACAGTAGCACGTGTTTTTCTAGACAATGTATTTAAATTGCATGGTTTCCCACTAACCATTGTCAGTGACAAGGATCCAATTTTTACAAGCTAGTTCTGGAAAGAACTGTTTCAGATCAGTGGCATAGAACTACTACTGAGTTCAGCATACCACCCTCAAACTGACAGTCAAACAAAGGTGATGAATAAAAAACTGGAAGGCTACTTACAATGTTTTTCAAGAGACAAACCACATGATTGGGCACGATGGTTGATTATGACTAAGGATGCTTATAACACATCAGAGCATACCTCAACTAGGGTTTCAGCATATGAAGTGGTTTACGGGTAGCCACTCTTAAGGATGTTGCCGTATGAGCCAGGCTCCACAAGGGTTCAAGCCGTAGATGAGGAGCTCAGAAACAGAGAGCTTATCAACAAATTAGTCCAGGAAAACTTGAAGGAAGCACAAGCCAAGATGAAGTTATATGCAGATCGAAAGAGGACTAACAAGGAGTTTCAAGTAGGAGATAAAGTTTACCTAAGGTTGCGTCCATATCGGCAAATATCCGTTGTGATGAGGAGAAACCTCAAACTGTCGCGAAGATATTATGGGACGTACATGGTGGTACAAAGAATAGGGAAAGTTGCGTACAAACTAGATCATCTACCACAAAACTCATAGATCTATCCTATTTTTCATGTATCTTGTTTAAAAAAGATAGTGGGAGAACACATACGGCCATTTACCGAACTGCCAGAGGTAACAACAGAGGCAACTCTAGAGCCTGAGCCCGAGATGATATTGAATAGAAGGATGATTAAGAAGGGACAGCGAGCTAGAGTAGAGATGCTGGTATAGTGGAAAGGAATGGCTGTCAAAGATGCAACCTGGGTGGATCGTGATGAGCTCAAACGATGATTTCCTACGCTTGAGGGCAAGCTTTTCTATAGTGGAGAGATATATTACGAATTGGAAAGAAACCCTGGTCTTTAGAGGGCTTGTCAGGATCACATGGGCTGGGTCAATGAAAATAGGGCCCTTATTTATCTTTATTTGCTTTTATGTTGTTATTTATCTTTACATGATAGAGTCTGGTATGTGTTAATGGGTCGCCATGGCCTAGTGGGTTAGTTTATTTGTACGTGGGTCAATTCCTAATTTAGTGGGGTAGTATGGTTGAGTCCATTGGTCACCATTTGACCAAGTCTACCTGTAAGTCACTATAAGTATTTCATCATTTCATCAATAATGAGATTATTCAGTTCATACAAATATTGGTTACAAATTGGAGGATCAGGCCCCTTGAAGTGCCTGCACAAATTACACATTAATTTCTAGCAACTATAACACCAACTGCTACAAATTTTAGAGTTGAGTTTACTAGATAAATCTCTCGTCATTTAATCTCTCAAACGGGTTTTCTGTAGAAGTAAACATTGTTACGGCGTGGCGTTGACGAGCTTAAGGAACGACTTGATGCGTGGACTTAATGCTCTGTCCTTAGGAAATACTTTAACGTCAATCTAACAGTACGGTGATGCTGGTGGCATATTCTGGCAATGACGGCCGAAGATTCCGATGCAATGGGAGAAGCAATCTCGCACGAACAGGGTTTGGACATTGGAAGACCTTTTGCTTCCGTTATGCAAAGCAAAAAGACGTTGTTTGCTATCTTAAACAACGTTGTCTTTTCATTTTTAGCGAGATAGTGAGGACCCTGAGAGATCAACTTTTTCTATATATATCCATTATTTTAAAAAAAAATATCAGAAAAACCCCTCTAAATTGTCAGAAAAACTTATATGGGGGATCTAATGTTTCAATAATTTGCTGAATATTTAATTCAAAAGCTTATTTAAATATGTTCACTAAATCTCAGTGTAAGACTTGATGTGGCTACATGCCACAATTATGCAGTTCAACGTGGTTTAAAGGAGTTATTAACTACCTCTTTTGATCTTTGATGGGAGTTTAAAGGCAATTGATGGGCGTTACTTGGTCCTTAGCCTAGCCATATATAAAGATATCATCTTCTCCATCGAAGAGATATCACAAAATACAAAAGGTTCTGAAGGTATAGGCTAGAAGATATCTCTCAAACACTCACTCACAAATCATTCATGTTTGGCTTTCTACAACACTTGAACAATATGGATGGAGGTAAGTGATTAAATTCCGCATTATATTACATACGTAATATTCCACACCCAGCCTCACCCAAACAAATATCAAAAAGCACACCAACAAAAGTAGATTCATCTAAAGAATTTTATATCATCTAAAACGTCAGAATCAAATTGTCAATTGTGAACAATAATAAGCATGTGTCGAAAATCAAAGAGAAAATGACATATTCCTACCCGAGGTTTAGCAAAGTCCAAGTTAATACTCTTAATTGCATTTATTATAGATTCCCATCTTAAAGTAACATCATTTTCTTTATTTTAACATAATTCTCAACTTTTCACTATAGCACGACGCACGTTAGCACACTAAAGTGCACCGATGCTTTCTTTGGCCGAAGATGGGCTCATGTTAGCAAAAGACGGCTCTTAGTAACGTCCAAGCTGACGGTTTTTGGGTTTTTCCGACTGATGAAGTCCAAAAGGACTTCCGAGACCACTGTTGGACTCCCTACAACCTCCTTTACAAAAATCATACCTCCACTTGCTGATCTCACTCACCATTTTTGATCACCTCCAGTAGTTATTAACGACGTTAATTTAAGGGTAGAAATCTGGAATAAATGCAATTAGGAGTATCAATTTTGGGATTTCGCTAAACCTTGGGTGGGAATCTATTGTTTACTCAAAATCAAAACTAGCCAAATGGAAAATTGGGCTAGAATCCAGAAAACTTGGAATATTTGGTTCTTCACTTCTTGCAATTTGACAAGTAGCTTCATGGGAGAGACGACCAGGTATATATACTTTCTATAATAGTGACTGAATAGTGTTTCACTTAAATGGTCAGTAAGAATATTGAGAAAATGGTGGAATATGTCATTGAAGGCATTTCAATACAATGTTTGAAGCCTGTCTCACTTACACTAGAAAGTTCTTTTTAACTTTTGCAAGTGAAATTGTCACAATTTAATTAAGGCAGTTTTCATTTCATGCATGCACTTATCCTCTATCGCAAAAGCTATCCGAAAGGAACCTTAAGGAAGATTGACAAACAAAATTCCCAAACTTCAGTATCTTCTTCCATGGAAATTCTATCAATTATAAGCCTCGTATATATTATCTTGCTTTATCACCCTGGATTATAGTGGGATTACACGTGACATGAAGTAAATGGACAGCTTTAGTTTAATTAATTACTTAAAAGAAAAGATCTATAACCACATATTAATGATAAATAGGATTCGAAATCTTCCAAGAAAATGGATCATGTATATATCAGTGATCTTTGTTCTTTTATATTTGGTTCTTTTAGTCTCAGACGAACCTCATCCAGAAAAAAAGATTGTTTAATTAACAAGTACAATTTATTATGTTAATCTGGTTTAGAATAGACATTAGTGTGATCGTTATCTACTTAGAACCATTTAAAGACATACAAGTGCCATATTCTTGGACGGACGTTTAGCCTTCTTATTATAGTTTATTTATTCCATGGCTGGCTTCAAGAAGATACCTAGATGATCATTTCAAATCATCCTTAAAATATATATGGCTACCTGCCGCCTCAATTAATTAACCTATTTGTTTAAGCTAATGACTTTGCTTTTTTGCTTGTATAAGTGCCCTACTCTTCATAACATATCTTGAATAAATCCATTTGAAAGATCAGATTATATATTTGGTGGGACTTTTCAAGGAAGTGTTCATGTATCTACACTAATATGAAGCAAACATTCTACTAACTCTTGATGAAATTCAAAGAAAATGGCGAAAAGGCAGAAACTCTTAATACTTGTCTTTGAAAATCAAAGAAAAATCATATATTCTGTCTTTGATTTTCAAAGATTTGGAAGGAAGATTGCCATAATATTTTCTTGGTATCTTTGTTGATTTTGGTGAGACAAAAAAGTTGGATAGAGGAATTGTTGGGAGTCAACTGTTTGTAGAAATAGAGCATATCCCGAATTGCCCAAGTTGAGCAAATAAGTGAACAATCTTATCCATTTTATCTCCATAGAAACTCCAAAGTCTAGAACAGTGAAGAGCCTTCTTCAAATCTCTCCCTAAATCTCGAAACAAAACCAGTCAAACAAGTGTCATGGAATAAGCATATCACATCTTTAGTACATTTATAAAACATTTTTCATTTTAGTGAAACTATTAGATACGTAAATAACGTATCCGAACATTTGAATAAAAAATGAAAGAAAGAATATGAGGACGCGTGGCTTCGAGGGATTGAAGCTGGCAGTGAATCCACTTGGTTGAAAGGGAAGAACCCATGTGTCAAAGAGAGGGGGGGAAATGGATGAAGCCACATGGGGTAGTAGCGTCCAAGAGAACTGTGGTTTCTGGGGTCTATAAATAGCAGAGACCGTTTGACAATATCTTCAACCATCTGCAATCTTCACGTGCTTCTCTGCTATCTGCCTCCTAGTTATCTGTTTGTCTCTATCTCTGCAAAGCTTATCCACTGCTCTTCTTTAGGGTCTTTTTAGTCAGCGAGGTCGTTTCCCGTTAAGAGAAAACTATCAAAGAGTAGTTTTGTTCGTTACTTGACAAAGAAAGCTACCTTACCTAGCCTTGCTTTGCTCTACTTTACCGATAATTTTAACATGGAAAACAAAAGGCAAGCAACTGGTGGTTCTTCTTCATCCAGAAATTTTGATCATCTTTTTGGTCCCAAGGACTCCTCTTCATCTTCTTCATCCTGCACCACTGGGATTTTTAGCTCTATTTTCCCACCACCATCAACGGTATTAATTATTTTCTTCTAATTAGTTAAAAATAAAAAATACTTCACTTCAGTACATATCTATATTGTTTTGCTTTTAGATTTGCTCATGCTTAACACTTAAAAATCTTTATTTTTCGTTGGTAGACTAGTGGCCTTGCTCTTCGGCAGATAGCTTATGTTATTAAAATGGTTGTTTTATTTGGCTTTGTTGAGCTTTGCAAAAGTTACTTGGTTAAGTGAATCACATATATTTGTTCATGTTTCGTTGGAGGGTTGTTCTTTTACTTCTTACTCAGGAGTTTAAAAGTTTATTTGGGTTAAAAATTGGGATCTCTCAAATTGAATATTATAGGAAGAATGCAATATATAGGGGTGCCTGCCAAAGTTGAAAGTTCTTTCATCAGCTGCATGTCATATATTAATGTTTAGTGAGCTAGTTTTATGGTTGGTAGAGAACAAGTAGATTTAGAAAATTGAATTTGAATCATTTGTTCACTTATAAAGAAAAAAAGGGTTTATTTAAAGGTTTGGATTTGTTTTCCTTTACAGATCTAGGAATTAAGGATAGATTTCTTTTATTTGTTTATTACTGTGTATTGAACTAGTTTAGTATATACAGACAGACTACTGTTATCTCAATGGACAATCCAGTGTCATTGGCTGCTCCATCAAAAAGACACCCCAATGGATTTTCCTGAATCGAAAGAAGTGTGCTTCTTCTTTGAAGTTGATGAAATAATTATGTTGCACGTTCTGAATCAAATATTTTCTTTCTTTGTTGATTTGATGATCAGATGGAAAGTGGGAAAGAGTCTTCTCACAGTGGAATAATGGGGTCACTTAAAAAGCAGGGCGAAAACAGCAAGGCTGAGAGTAATATTTTTAGTAGCAAAGAAAAAAATTCAATTTATCAGAATGAAACTGCAGAACCTTGCTATTTTAGCTCTTCAATATACTATGGAGGCCAAGAAAACTACTCTCCAAGAACCAAAACCCCCACTGAATCTCACCATGCTGTAAGTATAAATTAAACCCATACATCATGTCCTCAATTATAATAGCATGTAGCATTACCAAATTATAACTGATTTATTTATTTTTGGGGTTATCTTCAGTCTAAGAAAGATGGGGGAGAGGATGACCCTAATGGAAACAATGCTAACAGCGCTTCAAGAGGAAATTGGTGGCAGGGTATGTTGGTTAACATTTAGATAAGCCTATTAATCTTCCACAGTTTGACACTTAAATAAGAGTTTAATGTATATTTTTTTCTGCAGGCTCGCTCTATTACTAATACCTTGCCCTCAATATAAAGCAAAGTCACCATCTAGATATACAGTAAGTTATTCTAAATCCACTTATGGTAGGTTAAATGGTTATCTGATTCGTTTATTCCTCTTGTGCTTTTCTGAATACATTAATATAGCATTATATAACTATTGTTGCTGTTGGTTATCTTGCAGGAATGGTGATCAACTTTTATCTTATATTATTAGAAATAAGTGGTGCTAGTATTAGAAGAGAATAGCTGAGAGTAATGAAGTCAGGACTTGCTGCAAACATATTGGGTTCTTTTTTCCAACTAGTCAACTTGAGCAAGTATATATATCATATATGAGCTCTGATAATATGAAGAGAACTTAATGTCATCACTCAACGGGAAATCATGTACACAGTCTCTTTTGTGTAACAAACCCATTTTCCTTTCAGTTGATGAACCATGTTTTCTGGGTTTTCAGCCCTCAAACTAAAATATTATATATGGACTGATATATTCTCTGTATCTCTCTATTATGTCTCCCACCTTCTTTTTATCTTTCACTTTGAACTTAAAACTCATCAGCTTGAGATTGTAAACATGAACTAGTTTATTGAGTTAATAGACTCTGTAAGCAAAAATTCAAACAAGAAGCAGCACATTTTGTTAAGCAAAGACAATAGATTATTTGATATTATTCAGATGCCTGGGTAACAAGTATAACACAATTTAACAAGCTAGATAAACTAGCAACAAGGATAAAATCAAAGCATGGTTACAGCTAGTAGTAACCACTTTACAACCACAGGCACCATAACTTACTCTCTTTACTCTTCAAGGCAGTGTGTAAGCTGCAACAAACAAAAACCAATCAAATTGAAGCCAAGCCTAGAAGCATAATGGAAAAATATTCAGCGAAAAGCTAAGAACATGCCAGCTTACCTCCACACTGGTAACCCACAGGACGATCAGCAAGGTTGCAACGCTTGGGGATGGTTATGGCTATCTCGGGCTTGACACCGGAGCTCTTAGCTGTATTAGACAGCATAACAGCACATAGGCATTTGGGGTTCTGGGCCAGTTTCTTGACTGCTTGGCAGCACTGGCCGGAAACTGGAGCCTTCTCATCTTGCGCAGCCATTGCACAGGGAACGAGCTTAAAAGCTTCCCTATCAGGGGATGATTTCCCACATTCACCAGCCCCATCAACTCCATTATTGAACCCAGAAATGCCCAGAATTACCAGAAACACAAGAATGCAAGTGTACTTCATTGGAGTTTCCATTTTCTTCAATGCGATGCACAAACACTCCACAATCTAGCAGGATTTATACTGAAACATGCAGCTAAAGATATCTTTACACGTCAAACTCACAAATCATAGTGGAAGAACCACTAAAACCAAAAGTCACTTTATTTTCTCACCAAACACCCTCAATTGCAGATTGAAGATTACCAACTATTTTAAGCAAATAACTGTTAGTGCTTTCAAAAGCTTTAGCCACCCTTCCACTAATTTTCTATCCTTCAAAATATAATAGCAATCGAACACGTTTCACAATCAACTAACACTACATCAATGCAACAATTTCAAACTCTACTAAACTAGCTTGCCACCCCTACAACTACAAATATCTAGAAAGCCAACCAATCCACTATTTAACAATAAACCCAATTTAAAAAAAACCAAAAAAAAAAAAAATAAATTAAAAAAAAGACAAAAAAAAAAAAAGTTAATTCATTAACATCAAATTTTCAAGTCAAGAATTTTTATTAAACCATAAGAACGCAATCTCCTGTCAATTCATAGTTCTTAACTAAACCATTACACAGCACACAAGAACAATAATACGACCAAAAAACAAAAAACTAACTAGCCTGTAGAAAAGCGTACAAAACAACAGAAACATAAATCAACAACGCACAAGGGACCAAGATCACAAGCGGCACAATGGCGGCAAAACCATGCCCACTTCCATTCGCACACGACAGCGTCCCAAGTTTGATTTGAACGAGATTAACCAACGCGATCATCAAACAAATACACCCAGCAACCGACCCGACACCGGAAACCAGCATCCCGACCCGAAGCAAACCTTTGTTGACTTGAGCCTCGAAATCCGAATCAAAATGTGACTGGTTGAAACGTCGGATGGCTTGCTTCAGACTCAACGCAATGATGCTAGAAAACAAGAAGGAACTGAAGGCGTACACGTGGAAGGAGATCATGTTCTCGGCAAAGTTTGGGCCAGGCCTGCAAGTGAGATCGGTGATGAGGGTGCTGGAGGGGTCCCTGGGGTTCCATGCCAGCCCGACGAAAACGGCGAGAGTGAAGAGGGAGTTAACGTTGACGAGGGCGTCTAGGGCCGTTATGTGGATGCTCGTCGTCATTAAAACGGCGGCGCTTAGAGATCAGACGAGGAGATTTAGATTCGGAGTTGAGGAATTTTTTTGTCGGATAATGAGAAAGGAAGGAGGAGGGATCATTGGGAAAGTAGTTAGCTTTATTTGAATATTTGTTCCAGAGTGAACGTTACGCATTTCACGTTGAAGATCTGAAAAAGAATAGTGGCAAGTAATGTTTCTAAATCGTGACATGGAATTTATATTTATATTATATGGTTTTAATTTGATTATTAAATTGATCATTGGGAAAGTAGTTAGCTTTATTGCTCGTTATTGACTCATTGTAATATTATTAACTAAACATTTTATGTTTGGTAATTAACCATTCATCATAATCATACATTAGTTTTTTTTTTTAATGTATAATAAATTGGATCGAGATTTTTTATCCGAAATTTTTTTTTTGAATGATCGAGAGTGTTTAGGTTAGCTTACGTGTACCTCAAATAATCCTCTGGAACCTTGGAACTACCGGTCGGATAAAAGTTCTAATTGCCATCTCTATTAGCAACCGTGGAGACTCGAATTCGGAAGACCATATTAGATCCCTCTCTTATTTTTTTTACCCTCAAGGACACTCGCACTTAGGAGACCATGTTAGATCCTTCTCTTGGGACTTTGGAGACCATGTTAAATCTTCCTCTTGCTCTTTTACCTTTAGGGGACTCAGACTTCAGAAACCATGTTAGATCTTTTTTTGCTCTTTTACCATCATGCCACAGTAGTGGTTTTTTTGTCCGAATTAACTTTTCACAAAGTATTGGTTAATTATAAGGGTGTAAGTATTTCATTCCGAAACCTATAAATTTCCATGTTTCTTTCACTAAACCTATGACCCCGACAACAATAGTAGGTGTTATATTTATTTTATCTCGCCAACATTGTTAATTTATGTTTATAACAAGATGGCATGTCCGCGCATTGCGCGGGTTTATTTATTAAATTATTTTTATTTTATTATTGAATTTTTATATTTTAAGAAATCGTAAACGATTATTGTTTCACAAAAAAAATGTCAAATATTAATTATAATAGAATATTTTTTTATGTTTTATTTTTATTTTTTTACCGGGTTTTTTATGTTTAAAGAGTTTTTCTTTGGAAAGTTTTCGATTCAATTAAAGTAGAGTATCTTCTGCCATAATGAGAGAGTTGTTATCTTTTATTCATAAGAAAAATACATAAAGTTTAGTTATAAATTGAAGATTGTAATAACAATTGTAATGGCAAGAGAAATTGTTTTAACATCAGATGGTCAGCCTGAACTGGAAGGTATTCTATAAAACCTTAAAGTCATGCTAGACAAACTCAACACTGCCAGAGTGATGAATAGAGATATTATGAATGTTTTGTTAGAAATAACACGCTCAACCATGCATGTAATATTCGATTTACAGAAACGTGAATCTCTGATTATTGTCAAAGAAAAGGCACTTAGTATTCCTCAAGGAAAAAAATAGAACTATATATGATGTTGTTGCTTGAACAGCTAAAAATTAAACAATGGATATATAAAAGTAGATATGTATAAGGAATATAAGAGTAATCAGTTGATGTTATTTACCGCACGCTTCTATTTGTTTGGATTTTGGATTGACAATAGTTGGTCTTTCGTCTTCCATTTGTTAATGATATCTGTGTGAAATGAAATAAATATTTAAAGGTGTATGGATTGTTGAATTATCTATTCTTATATAGCTTTAGATGTCATTGAATGACGTTTTGTATGAACGATTGCGAACAAACATTAGTAATTTTTCAAATTAAAAGAGGAATGTGAAAGATCTCAAATTAAAAGAGGAATGTGAAAGATCTATATTGAATACATTAATTGAATTCATGTGAATAAATCCCTATTATAGCAATCTCTTAATATTCATGGAAATCAATAACACACACGTGAATCATTAGTGATTTATCAAATTAAAAGAGGAATGTAAAAGATCTCTATTTGATTATTTAGAAAAGCGTACAAAACAACAGAAACATAAATCAACAACGCACAAGGGACCAAGATCACAAGCGGCACAATGGCGGCAAAACCATGCCCACTTCCATTCGCACACGACAGCGTCCCAAGTTTGATTTGAACGAGATTAACCAACGCGATCATCAAACAAATACACCCAGCAACCGACCCGACACCGGAAACCAGCATCCCGACCCGAAGCAAACCTTTGTTGACTTGAGCCTCGAAATCCGAATCAAAATGTGACTGGTTGAAACGTCGGATGGCTTGCTTCAGACTCAACGCAATGATGCTAGAAAACAAGAAGGAACTGAAGGCGTACACGTGGAAGGAGATCATGTTCTCGGCAAAGTTTGGGCCGGGCCTGCAAGTGAGATCGGTGATGAGGGTGCTGGAGGGGTCCCTGGGGTTCCATGCCAGCCCAACGAAAACGGCGAGAGTGAAGAGGGAGTTAACGTTGACGAGGGCATCTAGGGCCGTTATGTGGATGCTCGTCGTCATTAAAACGGCAGCGCTTAGAGATCAGACGAGGAGATTTAGATTCGGAGTTGAGGAATTTTTTGGTCGGATAATGAGAAAGGAAGGAGGAGGGATCATTGGGAAAGTAGTTAGCTTTATTTGAATATTTGGTCCAGAGTGAACGTTACGCATTTCACGTTGAAGATCTGAAAAAGAATAGTGGCAAGTAATGTTACTAAATCGTGACATGGAATTTATATTTATATTATATGGTTTTAATTTGATTATTAAATTGATCATTGGGAAAGTTGTTAGCTTTATTGCTCGTTATTGACTCATTGTAATATTATTAACTAAACATTTTATGTTGGGTAATTACCCATTCATCATAATCATACATTAGTTTTTTTTTTAATGTATAATAAATTGGATCGAGATTTTTTATCCGAAATTTTTTTTTTTTTGAATGATCGAGAGTGTCTGGGTTAGCTTACGCGTACCTCAAATAATCCTTTGAAACCTTGGAACTACCAGTCGGATAAGAATTCTAATTGCCACCTCTATTAGCAACCGTGGAGACTCGAACTCGGAAGATCATGTTAGATCCCCCTCTTGTTTTTTTACCCTCAAGGACACTCGCATATAGGAGACCATGTTAGATCATTCTCTTAGGACTTTGGAGACCATGTTAAATCTTCCTCTTGTTTTTTTACCTTCGGGGAACCCAGACTTCAGAAACCATGTTAGATCTTTTTTTGCTCTTTTACCATCATGCCACAGTAGTGGTTCTTTTGTCCGAATTAACTTTTCACAAAGTACCGATTAATTATAAGGGTGTAAGTATTTCATTCCGAAACCTATAAATCTCCATGTTTCTTTCACTAAATCTATGACCCCGACAACGATAGTAGATGTTATATTTATTTTATCTTGCCTGCGTTGTTAATTTATGTTTATAACTAGATGGCATGCCCGCGCATTGTGCGGGTTTATTTATTAAATTATTTTTATTTTATTATTGAATTTTTATATTTTAAGAAATCGTAAACGATTATTGTTTCACAAAAAAAAAAAAAAGGTCAAATATTAATTATAATAGAATATTTTTTTATCAGGTTTTTTTATGTTTAAAGAATTTTTCTTTGGGAAGTTTTCGGTTCGATTAAAGTAGAGTATCTTCTGGCATAATGAGAGAGTTGTTATCTTTTATTCATAAGAAAAATACATAAAGTTTGGTTATAAATTGAAGACTGTAATAACAATTGTAATGGCAAGAGAAATTGTTTCAACATCAGATGGTCCACCTGAACTGGAAGGTATTCTACAAAACCTTAAAACCACGCTGGACAAACTCAACACTATCAGAGTGATGAACAAAGATATTATGAATGTTTTGTTAGAAATAACAGGCTCAATCATGCATATAATATTCGATTTACGGAAACGTGAATCCCTGATTGTTACCAAAGAAAAAGAACTTGGTATTCCTCAAGGAAAAAAGTAGAACTATATCTGATGTTATTGCTTGAACTGCTAAAAATTAAACAATGGACATGTAAAAGTAGATATGTAGAAGGAATATAATAGTAATCAATTGATGTTATTTACCGCACGCTTCTATTTGTTTGGATTTTGGATTGACAATAGTTGGTTTTTCGTCTTCCATTTGTTAATGATATCTGTGTGAAATGAAATAAATATTTGAAGGTGTATGGATTGTTGGTTTGTCTATTCTTATATAGCTTTAGATGCCATTGAATGACGTTTCGTATGAACGATTGCGAACAAAAATTAGTAATTTTTCAAATTAAAAAAGGAATGTGAAAGATCTCAAATTAAAAGAGGATTGTGAAAGATCTATATTGAATACATTAATTGAATGCATGTGAATAAATCCCTATTATAACAATCTCTTAATATTCATGGAAATCAATAACACACATGTGAATCATTAGTAATTTATCAAATTAAAAGAGGAATGTAAAAGATCTCAAATTAAAAGAGGAATGTGCAAGATCTATTTTGAATATATTAATTGAATGAATGTGAATAATCCTTATTATAGCAATCTCTTAATATTCATGGAAATCAATAACACATACATGAATCATTAGTAATTTATCAAATTAAAAGAGGAATGTGAAAGATCTCAAATTAAAAAATTGAAATATATATCGTCAGAATCAATATATTGAACAGTTGTATGTAATATATTAATGGTTGTATGTAATATATTAATGGTGAGTTATTTTTTTATGACGTTTGTAAATGTAAATACATTTTTTATATTATTCATTCCATAGATAATAGAAAAAACAAAACAAAAAAAAGACTGTGTACATACATTTTTATCAAATTAAAAAAGAAATGTAAAAGATTTGTATTGAATACATTAATTGAATGCATTTGAATAGTCCCTTTCATAGCAAACCCAATAAACAACAAACACGTGGACCAATTAACGACATCTTACATGGCGATCATATATCAATCCTACGTGGCATCAGAAGAAGCAATCTGCTTCAGCATTATATAGATATATAAAAGAGAAATGTGAAAGATCTCAAATTAAAAGAGAAATGTGAAATATTTGTATTGAATACATTAATTGAATGCATGTGAATAATTCCTATTATAACAAGCTCAATAAACAGCAAACACGTGGACCAATTAACGACATCCTACATGGCAATCATATATCAATCCTACGTGACGTTAGAAGAAGCAGTCTGCTTCAACATTATATAGATATATAGATGTTGTTTGTTAAATAAGATCTTAGCTGTTTAATTGTTTAACTAAAATATTTAATTTAAATTTTGATGGACCTCCTGGGATGAGTAATTCTCATAATAGATGGTCGTTTTGAGACTTTCAATTGTAGTTCAAGCTTCCTTTATACTTTTACAATTTTCCAAGCTATTGATGTGTATTTTGTTGATGTCTCAAATTGAAAGGGTCATATTCACAAATGAATTATCAAAACGAAGCACTGAAGTAAACATCCTCGAATTATTGTCAGTATCCTCCATTTTTTTTTCTGGAGTTCACATGTTTTATCCATTTTCTTAATTCAAAATGCTTGTAAAAAGCATTAAACTTGTTATTAATGTTATAAATTTAAAATCAACAACAAAATATCAACAAGGGCATTTGGTCTAGTGGTATGATTCTCGCTTAGGGTGCGAGAGGTCCCGAGTTCAATTCTCGGAATGCCCCGTTTAAGATGTTCATCTTTTTATGGCACATGAAAAGATATTCCATGAACGGAAAATAAGAATCAACTCATAAATGCAAAGTATTTTCGTTTTTCCCTCAAAACTCTCTGATCTGATGAAGCCAATCAGCAATCTCATATATATATTATTCTATCAACTCACAGCTACATTACATTCAAATAAACCAATAAGATGGGTAAACAAGATATTTCAACTCATAGTCACAAGAAATGTCCTCTACCATTAACAATCCTAATTCTCACACTGTATTTTTCATTCTCTCAAAAACTCTCTCAAGAGACAGTATATCGAGGCTGATTTTGGCACAACTTCGTCCCATTTTGGTTGGCTGATGATGAATTCTTTTGATGCACCAAACCTTCATAACCATTTGTTGCAACTGAACTTATCTCCTCAGTTGGATTCCCACACACCTTTGCTTTTGTGTCAACACCAAGATAATTTGACAACACTCTCTTCACCCCAAAACCGCGGCGGTTAGCCTTGTTGTTGTTGGTGGTGACGAGAAAAGGAGTTCTCTCCCCTCTTGCAGGACTAATTAGAGGTGCAGGTGAGAAGCTTGGTGTGTTAAATGTTGCCTTATACGGAGTGCCTGAGGCAGGCACATTACCGAAGGGGATTGTAACTTTCTTATGAGAAATTACACTAACTGTTGTAACTGATGACAGCTTATCTGAATTTTTATTCAAGTCATCCACATATATTAAATCATCAATCCGAGCCACAATGTTGAATGCCAGACTCTCCAAAACTCTTGAATAGCTCTCAAGAATGGATTTCCCAACATCCTGAAAAGTTCAAAAGAACTTCGGTTGAAGTTCATATATAGTGAAAGGAACAAAGAATCTTTCAAAGAAAGGAAATAGAACCTTGTTGCAGTGGATCTTGCTGGTGTCCAATGTAGTTTGTGTTAGACTAGGAAACCGCTGTTTCAAGCAAAGCAAGAGACTTTCAGATCTTTCAGCAAGCAATTCCCTCTTATCTCCATCAATCATGAAGTCCTTCACCATTTCCCATGATGATTTTGCAGTGGAACGATTTGGATTTGGTTGGGGCTTCGAGTGAGCTCTTCGACGCCACACGTATATTGAGGCTTCCACACGGTTTGCTATCTCAAGAGCAACGTGCTCTGAGGACAGGTCAAGGCAATCTAGCAAGCAGTCAGCAGAGAACTGATCTGATGTAATGTACCTGTAAATAACTTCCCCTAAACAGGTTCTCCCATTCTGAGAACAAACAAATGAAAATAAAAATAAAAAAATCAGTTGCATAAAACAAGCATCAATAATCAAACACTATGTGATGATTTAGTTGACACTGAAATAAAAGAATTATCTTTTGGATATTCAAACCTTTGGAAGTGATTCTAAGTATGACTCAGGCACTTCCATTTCTGCTAAGGTAATACTATTTATGGCCATTGCAGCTTTAAGGATCTGGTTTGTGCATTCACGCGTGTGATGCAATTGCTTTCTTGAATTTTCAGAGAGGCCACCAGCAGGTACACGGGGCACAGGAAGCCACCACTTCTCTTCTTGCCGCTGAATTGTTTTCCGAAAAGAGGCTGATCCATCTGCTTCTGGGGCTATAATCCCTTGATCAACATACCAAAATTCGGTATCCACAAAACTATCCAATATTTCCTGTCATAGAATAAACTAGATGGTAAGTTGAAAATGGCTTTACCAAACTGAGAACAATGAAACAATGAAAGTGAAATCTTACAAGGAGCATGTTGTCTAGTTTCCTGAGAGCAGGGAGATTCATGAAAATATCTGATCTAGGCCTGCAAGACATGACCTACAAATTGCAAAACAACCCATTTTAGCTCAAAACGCCATAAATTCAGATGGTGAAAGTAGAGAAGGGTTCAAAAGTTCAGCTTTTCCTGAGATCCTTACAATTAAAGAAAGCTGTATAGTTCAAGCACTTTCAGAAAAAGAAACAGAAAGGCCTAAAATTTTCCCTTTACCTCAAGTTTATTTCCATTTGAAAATGTTTGCCAAGATGGGATCAATTCCACAATGTGATCACTAACACAAAGAAGCAGCTCCATTTCTCTTTTCCACATTGATTTCTTCTCAGAAGGTAAGGGTTCTAATCTCCACAGTTGTCCAAATATAGTAGCTAAAAATCATACCAAAAGATAGTAAATTACAGTCCAAATAATTAAGAACAACAAAAAATAAAATAAAATAAAATAAATAAATAAATAAAAAGTAATTGTAATAGAGAGAAATCTGCACACAAAGAAGAGAGCATACCACATAGATTGGTAATGGAATTAGATATAGCCAAAGCTGGGCAAACACCTTTACCAGAACCTGACATGTCTTCACCAAGCAACAATTTTGCAAACCTTTCCTTCATCATATCCATCTCTATTCCAAATCACCAAGTAAAATAAAAAATAATCAGTTTACCAAAAAAAGGAAAACATAATCAGAAAAAAAAAAAAAAATGTTAATCACCTAGCCCAAAGACAAACCGGTAGAAACATAAAAACTATATTTAGTAACTCCTTTTGGTTACAGGGATAACTTAAAACATCAGAAATTTTGAATTTTTACTGTACTAGTTCCTGAAACAAAAACATTTGAAATTCTAAATTTGAAATCTAAAACATCAGAAATTGCGTACTTTCTGTAATCAAACAGAAACACCTCATCTGATCCAAAAGTTGTACGACTTAATTAAAAGAAATAAAGTTTAAACTCAAAAACAGAAACTTTATCCTTTTCCCACAATGTTTTCTCAGCAACCAAACATACCCAAAAGCCAAAAAGCCAACCTGAAATGAGAGAACTCGGTTTCTTAAACTTCAAATCATCAAAATGGCTCTTCTCTTCATTTCCCTTTTCATCAGAAACCAAACTTTTCTTCGACACTTCAGCTTTCCTGATAGGCCAACCCAAAAGAGAGGGTGAACAAGACCCCATTTTTTTCACTTCCTCGATTGAGTCATCACAGCTTGAGCCGCTTGAACTACTACTCTTTCTTGACTCGGTCCCGGACTCAGTGGTAGTAGTTGTCACTGTCTCACTACCACCAGTACCATTCTTCTTCACTAAACTTCCCATTCTTTCCAAAATAAATAAATTGAAACACAATCTAAGGAAAACGTTTGTGGTTTGAAAACTGTCTTGTCCTGTGACTGTCGAAATTTGATTTTTGATTTTGAAGATTGAAAAATGAAGAGAAAGTTTTAAGAAGAAGCACATGACATGACAACGTCTCTCTTTCACTTTCAGTGACTGACTAGAAAATACGTTCGTTCAAATTATTAATAAAATATACGGTACTTTGGCAGGTTTGGGCGGACTCATGGGAAACACTACGAATTTACATTTTTACCCTGCTAAATACCAGTGAAGTTACGGTTTTACCCTGATCGGTGTGTTTGGGTGCGCGTGTCTTAGTATAGTTTATTTTATTCCATGGCTGGCTTCAAGAGATCCCTAGATGATCATTTCAAATCATCCTTAAATATATATGGCTACCTGCCGCCTCAATTATAACCTATTTGTTTAAGCTAATGACTTTGCTTTTTTGCTTGTATAAGTGCCCTACTCTTCATAACATATCTTGAATAAATCCATTTGAAAGATCAGATTATATATTTGGTGGACTTTTCAAGGAAGTGTTCATGTATCTACACTAATATGAAGCAAACATTCTACTAACTCTTGATGAAATTCAAAGAAAATGGCGAAAAGGCAGAAACTCTTAATACTTGTCTTTGAAAATCAAAGAAAAATCATATATTTTCTGTCTTGATTTTCAAAGATTTGAAGGAAGATTGCCATAATATTTTCTTGGTATCTTTGTTGATTTTGGTGAGACAAAAAAGTTGGATAGAGGAATTGTTGGGAGTCAACTGTTGTAGAAATAGAGCATATCCCGAATTGCCCAAGTTGAGCAAATAAGTGAACAATCTTATCCATTTTACTCCATAGAAACTCCAAAGTCTAGAACGGTGAAGAGCCTTCTTCATCTCTCCCTAAATATCGAAACAAAACCAGTCAAACAAGTGTCATGGAATACATATCACATCTTTAGTACATTTTAAAACACTTTTCATTTTAGTGAAACATTAGATACGTAAATAACGTATCCGAACATTTGAATAAAAAATAAGAAAGAATATGAGGACGCGTGGCTTCGAGGGATTGAAGCTGGCAGTGAATCCACTTGTTGAAAGGGAAGACCCATGTGTCAAAGAGAGGGGGGAAATGATGAAGCCACATGGGGTAGTAGCGTCCAAGAGACTGTGGTTTCTGGGGTTCTATAATAGCAGAGACCGTTTGACAAATCTTCAACATCTGCAATCTTCACGTGCTTCTCTGCTATCTGCCTCCTAGTTTATCTGTTTGTCTCTATCTCTGCAAAGCTTATCCACTGCTCTCTTTAGGTCTTTTTAGTCAGCGAGGTCGTTTCCCGTTAAGAAAAAACTATCAAAGAGTAGTTTTGTTCGTTACTTGACAAAGAAAGCTACCTTACCTACCTGCCTTGCTTTGCTCTACTTTACGATAATTTTAACATGGAAAACAAAAGCAACAACGTGGTTCTTCTTCATCCAGAAATTTTGATCATCTTTTTGGTCCCAAGGACTCCTTCATCTCTTCATCCTGCACCACTGGATTTTTAGCTCTATTTTCCCACCACCATCAACGGTTTAATTATTTTCTTCTAATTAGTTAAAATAAAAAATACTTCACTTCAGTACATATCTATATTGTTTTGCTTTAGATTTGCTCATGCTTAACACTTAAAAATCTTTATTTTCGTTGGTAGACTAGTGGCCTTGCTCTTCGGCAGATAGCTTATGTTATAAAATGGTTGTTTTATTTGGCTTTGTTGAGCTTGCAAAAGTTACTTGGTTAAGTGAATCCAATATATTGTTCATGTTTCGTTGGAGGTTGTTCTTTTACTTCTACTCAGGAGTTTAAAAGTTTATTTGGGTTAAAAATTGGGATCTCTCAAATTGAATATTGTAGGAAGAATGCATATATAGGGGTGCCTGCCAAAGTTGAAAGTTCTTTCATCAGCTGCATGTCATATATTAATGTTTAGTGAGCTAGTTTTATGGTTGGTAGAACAAGTAGATTAGAAAATTGAATTTGATCATTTGTTCACTTATAAGAAAAAAAGGGTTTATTTAAAGGTTTGGATTTGTTTCCTTTACAGATCTAGGAATAAGGATAGATTTTTTTATTTGTTTATTGCTGTGTATTGAACTAGTTTAGTATATACAGACAGACTACTGTTATCTCAATGGACAATCCAGTGTCTTGGCTGCCCATCAAAAGACACCCCTGGATTTTCCTGAATCGAAAGAAGTGTGCTTCTTCTTTGAAGTTGATGAAATAATTATGTTGCACGTTCTGAATCAAATATTTTCTTTCTTTGTTGATTGATGATCAGATGGAAAGTGGGAAAGAGTCTTCTCACAGTGAAAATGGGGTCACTTAAAAGCAGGGCGAAAACAGCAAGGCTGAGAGTAATATTTTTAGTAGCAAAGAAAAAATTCAATTTATCAGAATGAAACTGCAGAACCTTGCTATTTTAGCTCTTCAATATACATGGAGGCCAAGAAAACTACTCTCCAAGAACCAAAACCCCCACTGAATCTCACCATGCTGTAAGTATAAATTAAACCCATCCATCATGTCCTCAATTATAATAGCATGTAGCATTACCAAATTATAACTGATTTATTTATTTTGGGGTTACTTCAGTCTAAGAAAGATGGGGGAGAGGATGACCCTAATGGAAACATGCTAACAGCGCTTCAAGAGGAAATTGGTGGCAGGGTATGTTGGTTAACATTTAGTAAGGCTATTAATCTTCCTAGTTTGACACTTAATAAGAGTTTAATGTATATTTTTTTTCTGCAGGCTCGCTCTATTACTAATACCTTGCCCTCAATATAAAGCAAAGTCACCATCTAGATATACAGTAAGTTATTCTAAATCCACTTGTGGTAGGTTAATGGTTATCTATTCGTTTATTCTCTTGTGCTTTTCTGCTTCTGATGAATACTTAATATAGCATTATATAACTATTGTTGCTGTTGGTTATCTTCAGGAATGGTGATCAACTTTTATCTTATATTATTAAATAAGTGGTGCTAGTATTAGAAGAAATAGCTGAGAGTAATAAGTCAGGACTTGCTGCAAACATATTGGGTTCTTTTTTCCAACTAGTCAACTTGAGCAAGTATATATGTCATATATGAGCTCTGATAATATGAAGAGACTTAATGTCATCACTCAACGGGAAATCATGTACACAGTCTCTTTTGTGTAACAAACCCATTTTCCTTTCAGTTGATGAACCATGTTTTCTGGGTTTTCAGCCCTCAAACTAAAATATATATATGGACTGATATTTCTCTGTATCTCTCTATTATGTTCTCCCACCTTCTTTTTATCTTTCACTTGAACTTAAAACTCATCAGCTTGAGATTGTAAACATGAACTAGTTTATTGAGTTAATAGACTCTGTAACAAAAATTCAAACAAAAGCAGCACATTTTGTTAAGCAAAGACAATAGTTTATTTGATATTATTCAGATGCCTGGGTAACAAGTTAACACAATTTAACAGCTGATAAACAGCAACAAGGATAAAATCAAAGCATGGTTACAGCTAGTAGTAACCACTTTACAACCACAGGCACCATAACTTACTCTCTTTACTCTTCAAGGCAGTGTGTAAGCTGCAACAAACAAAAACCAATCAAATTGAAGCCAAGCCTAGAGCAAATGGAAAAATATCACGAAAAGCTAAGAACATGCCAGCTTACCTCCACACTGGTAACCCCAGGACGATCGCAAGGTTGCAACGCTTGGGGATGGTTATGGCTATTCGGGCTTGACACCGGAGCTCTTAGCTGTATTAACAGCATAACAGCACATAGGCATTTGGGGTTCTGGGCCAGTTTCTTGACTGCTTGGCAGCACTGGCCGGAACTGGAGCCTTCTCATCTTGTGCAGCCATTGCACAGGAGCGAGCTTAAAAGCTTCCCTATCAGGGGATGATTTCCCACATTCACCAGCCCCATCAACTCCATTATTGAACCCAGAAATGCCCAGAATTACCAGAAACACAAGAATGCAAGTGTACTTCATGGGAGTTTCCATTTTCTTCATGCGATGCACAAACACTCCACAATCTGCAGGATTTATACTGAAACATGCAGCTAAAGATATCTTTACACGTCAAGCTCACAAATCATAGTGGAAGAACCACTAAAACCAAAAGTCACTTATTTTCTCACCAAACACCTCATTGCAGATTGAAGATCCAACTATTTTAAGCAAATAACTGTTAGTGCTTTCAAAGCTTTAGCCACCCTCCACTAATTTTCTATCCTTCAAAATATATAGCAATCGAACACGTTTCACAATCACTAACACTACATCAAGCAACAATTTCAAACTCTACTAAACTAGCTTGCCACCCCTACAACTACAAATATCTAGAAAGCCAACCAATCCACTATTTAACAATAAACCCATTTAAAAAAAAACAAAAAAAAAAAGTTAATTCATTAACATCAAATTTTCAAGTCAAATTTTATTAACCATAAGAACGCAATCTCTCGTCAATTCATAGTTCTTAACTAAACCATTACACAGCACACAAGAACAATAATACGACCAAAAAACAAAAAAACTAACTAGCCTGTAGAAAAGCGTACAAAACAACAGAACATAAATCAACAACGCACAAGGGACCAAGATCACAAGCGGCACAATGGCGGCAAAACCATGCCCACTTCCATTCGCACACGACAGCGTCCCAAGTTTGATTTGAACGAGATTAACCAACGCGATCATCAAACAATACACCCAGCAACCGACCCGACACCGGAACCAGCATCCCGACCGAGCAAACCTTTGTTGACTTGAGCCTCGAAATCCGAATCAAAATGTGACTGGTTGAAACGTCGGATGCTTGCTTCAGACTCAACGCAATGATGCTAAAAACAAGAAACTGAAGGCGTACACGTGGAAGAGATCATGTTCTCGGCAAAGTTTGGGCCAGGCCTGCAAGTGAGATCGGTGATGAGGGTGCTGGAGGGGTCCCTGGGGTTCCATGCCAGCCCGACGAAAACGGCGAGAGTGAAGAGGAGTTAACGTTGACGAGGGTCTAGGGCCGTTATGTGGATGCTCGTCGTCTAAAACGGCGGCGCTTAGAGATCAGACGAGGAGATTTAGATTCGGAGTTGAGGAATTTTTTGTCGGATAATGAGAAGAAGGAGGAGGGACATTGGGAAAGTAGTTAGCTTTATTTGAATATTTGTTCAGAGTGAACGTTACGCATTTCACGTTGAAGATCTGAAAAAGAATAGTGGCAAGTAATGTTTCTAAATCGTGACATGGAATTTATATTTATTATATGGTTTTAATTTGATTATTAAATTGATCTTGGGAAGTAGTTAGCTTTATTGCTCGTTATTGACTCATTGTAATATTATTAACTAAACATTTTATGTTGGTAATTACCATTCTCATAACATACATTAGTTTTTTTTTTAATGTAAATAAATTGGATCAAGATTTTTTATCCGAATTTTTTTTTTTGATGATCGAGGTGTTGGTTAGCTTACGTGTACCTCAATAATCCTCTGGAACCTTGGAACTACCGGTCGGATAAAAGTTCTAATTGCCATCTCTATTAGCAACCGTGGAGACTCGAATTCGGAAGACATATTAGATCCCTCTCTTTTTTTTTACCCTCAGACACTCGCATTAGGAGACCATGTTTACCTTCTCTTGGACTTTGGAGACCATGTTAAATCTCCTCTTGTCTTTTACCTTGGGGACCAGACTTCAGAAACCATGTTAGATCTTTTTTTGCTCTTTACCATCATGCCACAGTAGTGTTTTTTTGTCCGAATTAACTTTTCACAAAGTATGTTAATTATAAGGGTGTAAGTATTCATTCCGAAACCTATAAATTTCCATGTTTTCTTCACTAAACTATGACCCCGACAACAATAGTATGTGTATATTTATTTTATTCGCCACTTGTTAATTTATGTTTATAACAGATGGCATGTCCGCGCATTGCCGGGTTTATTATTAAATTATTTTTATTTTATTATTGAATTTTTATATTTTAAGAAATCGTAAACGTTATTGTTTCACAAAAAAAGTCAATATTAATTATAATAGAATTTTTTTTAGTTTTATTTTTATTTTTTTACGGGTTTTTTATGTTTAAAGATTTTTCTTTGGAAGTTTTCGATTCAATTAAAGTAGAGTATCTTCTGCCTAATGAGAGAGTTGTTTCTTTTATTCATAAGAAAATACATAAAGTTTGTTATAAATTGAAGATTGTAATAACAATTGTAATGGCAAGAGAAATTGTTTACATCAGATGGTCCCCTGAACTAAGGTATTCTATAAACCTTAAAGTCATGCTAACAAACTCAACACTGCCAGAGTGATGAAAAGATATTATAATGTTTTGTTAGAAATAACAGCTCAACCATGCATGTAATATCGTATTACAGAAACGTGAATCTCTGTTATTGTCAAAGAAAGCACTTGTATTCCTCAAGGAAAAAAATAGAACTATATATATGTTGTTGCTTGAACAGCTAAAAATAACAATGGATTAAAAGTAGATATTATAAAATATAAGAGTAATCATTATGTTATTACCGCACGCTTCTATTTGTTTGGATTTTGGATTGACAATAGTTGGTCTTTCGTCTTCCATTTGTTAATGATATCTGTGTGAAATGAAATAAATTTTAAAGGTTATGGATGTGTTGATTCTATTCTTATATAGCTTTAGATGCATTGAATGACGTTTTTATGAACGATTGCGCAACAATTAGTAATTTTTCAAATTAAAAAGGAATGTGAAAGATCTCAAATTAAAAGAGGAATGTGAAAGATCTATATTGAATCATTAATTGAATTCATGTGAATAAATCCCTATATAACAACTCTTAATATTCATGGAAATCAATACACACACGTGAATCATTAGTGATTTACAAATTAAAGAGGAATGTAAAGATCTAAATTAAAAGGGAATGTGCAAGATCTTTATTGAATAATTAATTAAATGAATGTGAATAATCCTTATATAGCATCTCTTAATATTCATGGAAATCAATAACACACACTGAAACATTAGTAATTCATCAAATTAAAGAAATGTGAAAGATCTCGAATTAAAAAATTGAAATACATGTTGCGAATCAATATATTACACGTTGTATGTAATATATTAATGTGAGTTATTTTTTTTTTTATGACGTTTGTAAATGTAATACATTTTATATTATCTTCCATTGATAATAGAAAAACAAAAAACAAAAAAAAAGATTGTGTACATACATTTTATCAAATTAAAAAAATGAAATTTCAAATTAAAGAGAATGTAAAGATTTGTATTGAATACATTAATTGAATACATTTGAATATCCCTATTTAGCAAGCCCAATAAACACAAACACGGGAACCAATTAACGAGTCTTACATGGCGATCATATGTCAATCCTACGTGGCTCAGAAGAAGCATCTGCTTCAGCATTATATAGATATATAAAAGAAATGTGAAAGATCTCAGTAAAAGAGGAATGCGAAATATTGTATTGAATACATTAATTGAATGCATGTGAATAATTCCTATTATAACAAGCCCAATAAACAGCAAACACGTGGACCAATTAACGACATCATACATGACGATCATGCTCATCTTACGTATCGTCAAAAAAAGTCTGCTACAACGTTATATAGATATATACTGTTGTTTGTTATAAGATCTTAGATGTTTAATTGTTTACTAAAAATTTAATTTAAATTTTGATGGACCTCCTGGGATGAGTAATTCTCATAATAGATGGTCTTTTGAACTTTCAATGTAGTTCAAGCTTCTTTATACTTTTAAATTTTCCAAGCTATTGATGGTATTTTGTTGATGTCTCAAATTGAAAGGGTCATATTCACAAATGAATTTCCAAAACGAAGCACTGAAGTAACATCCTCATTATTGTCAGTATCCTCCATTTTTTTTTTTCTGGAGTTCACATGTTTTATCCATTTTCTTATTCAAAATGCTTGAAAAGCATTAAACTTGTTATTGATGTTATAAATTTAAAATCAACAACAAAATATCAACAAGGGCATTTGGTCTAGTGGTATGATTCTCGCTTAGGTGCGAGAGGTCCCGAGTTCAATTCTCGGAATGCCCCGTTTAAGATGTTCATCTTTTTATGGCACATGAAAAGATATTCCGTGAACGGAAAATAAGAATCAACTCATAATGCAGTATTTTCATGTTTTTCCCTCAAAACTCTCTGATCTGATGAAGCCAATCTGCAATCTCATATATATATTATTCTATCAACTCACAGCTACATTACATTCAAATAAACCAATAAGTGGTAAACAAGATATTTCAACTCTAGTCCAAGAAATGTCCTCTACCATTAACAATCCTAATTCTCACACTGTATTTTTCATTCTCTCAAAACTCTCTCAAGAGACAGTATATCGAGGCTGATTTTGGCGCAACTTCGTCCCATTTTGGTTGGCTGATGAGATTCTTTTGATGCCCAAACCTTCATAACCATTTGTTGCAACTGAACTTATCTCCTCAGTTGGATTCCCACAACTTTGCTTTTGTGTCAACACCAAGATAATTTGACACACTCTCTTCACCCCAAAACCGCGGCGGTTAGCCTTGTTGTTGTTGGTGTGACGAGAAAAGGATTCTCTCCCCTCTTGCAGGACTAATTAGAGGTGCAGGTGAGAAGCTTGGTGTGTTATGTTGCTTATACGGAGTGCCTGAGGCAGGCACATTACCGAAGGGGATTGTAACTTTCTTATGAGAAATTACACTGACTGTTGTAACTGATGACAGCTTATCTGAATTTTTATTCAAGTCATCCACTTATTAAATCATCAATCCGAGCCACAATGTTGAATGCCAGACTCTCCAAAACCTTGAATAGCTCTCAAGAATGGATTTCCCAACATCCTGAAAAGTTCAAAAGAACTTCGTTGAAGTTCATATATAGTGAAGGAACAAAGAATCTTTCAAAGAAAGGAAATAGAACCTTGTTGCAGTGGATCTTGCTGGTGTCCAATGTAGTTTGTGTTATCTCTCAAACACTCACTCACAAATCATTCATGTTTGGCTTTCTACAACACTTGAACCATACGGATGGAGGTAAGTGATTAAATTCTGCATTATATTACATACGTAATATTCCACACTCAGCCTTACGCAAACAAATTTCATAAAGCACATCAACAAAAGTAGATCCATCTAAAGAATTTTATATCATCTAAAGCTTCAAAATCAAATCGTCAATTGTGACCAATAATAAGCATGTGTCGAAAATCAAAGAGAAAATGACATATTCCCACCCGAGGTTTAGCGAAATCCAAGTTAATACTCCTAATTGCATTTATTCTAGATTCTCATCTTAAAGTAACATCGTTTTCTTTATTTTAACAGAATTCTCAACTTTTCACTATGGCACGTTAGCACACTAAAGTGCATCGGTGCTTTCTTTGGCTGAAGATGGGTTCGTGTTAGCAAAAGACGGCTCACGTTAGTAACGTCCAAGCCGACGGTTTTTGGGTTTTTCTGACCGATTTCGAAGTCCAAAAGGACTTCTGAGACTACTGTTGGACTCCTTACAACCTCCTCTACAAAAATCATACCTCCACTTGCTGACCTCACTCACCATTTCCGATCACCTCCAACAGTCATTAACGATGTTAATTTAAGGGCAGAAATCTGAAATAAATGCAATTAGGAGTATCAATTTTGGGATTTCACTAAACCTTGCGTGGGAATCTGTTGTTTACTCAAAATCAAAACTAGCTAAATGGCAAATTGGGGTAGAATCCAGAAAACTTGGAATATTTGGTTCTTCACTTCTTGCAATTTGACAAGTAGCTTCATGGGAGAGACGACCAGGTATATATACTTTCTATAATAGTGACTGAATAGTGTTTCACTTAAATGGTCAGTAAGAATACTGAGAAAATGGTGGAATATGCCATTGAAGGCATTTCAATTCAATGTTTGAAGCCTGTCTCACTTACACTAGAAAATTCTTTTTAACTTTTGCAAGTGAAATTGTCACAATTTAATTAAGGCAGTTTTCATTTCATGCATGCACTTATCCTCTATCGCAAAAGCTATCCGAAAGGAACCTTAAGGAAGATTGTCAAACAAAATTCCCAAACTTCAGTATCTTCTTCCATGGAAATTCTATCAATTATAAGCCTCGTATATATTATCTTGCTTTATCACCCTGGATTATAGTGGGATTACACGTGACATGAAGTAAATGGAGAGCTTTAGTTTAATTAATTACTTAAAAGAAAAGATCTATAACCACATATTAATGATAAATAGGATTCGAAATCTTCCAAGAAAATGGATCATGTATATATCAGTGATCTTTGTTCTTTTATATTTGGTTCTTTTAGTCTCAGACGAACCTCATCCAGAAAAAAAGATTGTTTAATTAACAAGTACAATTTATTATGTTGATCTGGTTTAGAATAGACATTAGTGTGATCGTTATCTACTTAGAACCATTTAAAGACACACAAGTGCCATATTCTTGGACGGACGTTTAGCCTTCTTATTATAGTTTATTTATTCCATGGCTGGCTTCAAGAGATACCTAGATGATCATTTCAAATCATCCTTAAATATATAGTGCTACCTGCCGCCTCAATTAATTAACCTTTTGTTTAAGCTAATGACTTTGCTTTTTTGCTTGTATAAGTGCCCTACTCTTCATAACAATCTTGAATAAATCCATTTGAAAGATCAGATTATATATTTGTGGGACTTTTCAAGGAAGTGTTCATGTATCTACACTAATAAACAAACATCTACTAACTCTTGATGAAATTCAAAGAAAATGGCGAAAAGGCAGAAACTCTTAATACTGTCTTTGAAATCAAAGAAAAATCATATATTCTGTCTTTGATTTTCAAAGATTTGAAGGAAGATTGCCATATATTTTTTGGTATCTTTGTTGATTTTGGTAGACAAAAAAGTTGGATAGAATTGTTGGGAGTCACTGTTTGTAGAAATAGAGCATATCCCGAATTGCCCAAGTTGAGCAAATAATAGTGAACAATCTTTCCATTTTATCTCCATAGAAACCCAAAGTCTAGAAGTGAAGAGCCTTCTTCAATCTCTCCCTAAATCTCGAAACAAAACCAGTCAAACAAGTGTCATGGAATAAACATATCACATCTTTAGTACATTTATAAAACATTTTCTTTTAGTGAAACTATTAGATACGTAAATAACGTATCCGAACATTTGAATGAAAATGAAAGAAAGAATATGAGGACGCGTGGCTTCGAGGGATTGAAGCTGGCAGTGAATCCACTGGTTAAAGGAAGAGCCCATGTGTCAAAGAGAGGGAGGAAATGAATGAAGCCACTGGGGTAGTAGCGCCAAGAGAACTGTGGTTTCTGGGGTCTATAAATAGCAGAGCCGTTTGAAATATCTTCAACCATCTGCAATCTTCACTGCTCTCTGCTATCTGCCTCCTAGTTATCTGTTTGTCTCTATCTCTGCAAAGCTTATCCACTGCTCTTCTTTAGGGTCTTTTAGTCAGCGAGGTCGTTTCCCGTTAAGAGAAAACTATCAAGAGTAGTTTTGTTCGTTACTTGACAAAGAAAGCTACCTTACCTAGCCTTGCTTTGCTCTACTTCTGATAATTTAACATGGAAACAAAAGGCAAGCAACAGGTGGTTCTTCTTCATCCAGAAATTTTGATCATCTTTTTGGTCCCAAGGACTCCTCTTCATCTTCTTCATCCTCCACCACTGGGATTTTTAGCTCTATTTTCCCACCACCATCAACGGTATAATTATTTTCTTCTAATTAGTTAAAATAAAAAATACTTCACTTCAGTACATATCTATATTGTTTTGCTTTTAGATTTGCTCATGCTTAACACTTAAAAATCTTTATTTTTCGTTGGTAGACTAGTGGCCTTGCTCTTCGGCAGATAGCTTATGTTATTAAAATGGTTGTTTTATTTGCTTTGTTGAGCTTTGCAAAGTTCTTGGTTAAGTGAATCACATATATTTGTCATGTTTCGTTGGAGGGTTGTTCTTTTACTTTCTACTCAGGAGTTTAAAGTTTATTTGGGTTAAAATTGGGATCTCTCAAATTGAATATTATAGGAGACAATATAGAGGGGTGCCTGCCAAAGTTGAAAGTTCTTTCATCAGCTGCATGTCATATATTAATGTTTAGTGAGCTAGTTTTCATGGTTGGTAGAGAACAAGTAGATTTAGAAAATTGAATTTGAATCATTTGTTCACTATAAAGAAAAAAAGGGTTTATTTAAAGGTTTGGATTTGTTTTCCTTTACAGATCTAGGAATTAGGATAGATTTCTTTTATTTGTTTATTACTGTGTATTGAACTAGTTTATAGTATACAGACAGACTACTGTTATCTCAAGGACAATCCAGTGTCTTTGGCTGCTCCATCAAAAAGACACCCCAATGGATTTTCCTGAATCGAAAGAAGTGTGCTTCTCTTTGAAGTTGATGAAAAAATTATGTTGCACGTTCTGAATCAAATATTTTCTTTCTTTTTGATTGATGATCAGATGGAAAGTGGGAAAGAGTCTTCTCACAGTGGAATAATGGGGTCACTAAAAGCAGGGCGAAACACCAAGGCTGAGAGTATTTTTTAGTAGCAAAGAAAAAATTCAATTTATCAGAATGAAACTGCAGAACCTTGCTATTTTAGCTCTTCAATATACATATGGAGGCCAAGAAAACTACTCTCCAAGAACCAAAACCCCCACTGAATCTCACCATGCTGTAAGTTAAATAAACCCATACATCATGTCCTCAATTATAATAGCATGTAGCATTACCAAATTATAACTGATTTATTTATTTTTGGGGTTATCTTCAGTCTAAGAAAGATGGGGGAGAGGATGACCCTAATGGAAACAATGCTAACAGCGCTTCAAGAGGAAATTGGTGGCAGGGTATGTTGGTTAACATTTAGTAAGCCTATTAATCTTCCAAGTTTGACACTTAAATAAGAGTTTAATGTATATTTTTTTCTGCAGGCTCGCTCTATTACTAATACCTTGCCCTCATATAAGCAAAGTCACCATCTAGATATACAGTAAGTTATTCTAAATCCATTTGGTAGGTTAAATGGTTATCTGATTCGTTTATTCCTCTTGTGCTTTCTGAATACATTAATATAGCATTATAAACTATTGTTGCTGTTGGTTACTTCAGGAATGGTGATCAACTTTTATCTTATATTATTAGAAATAAGTGGTCTAGTATTAGAAGAGAATAGCTGAGAGTAATGAAGTCAGGACTTGCTGCAAACATGATGGGTTCTTTTTTCCAACTAGTCAACTTGAGCAAGTTATATATCTATATGAGCTCTGATAATATAAGAGAACTTAATGTCATCACTCAACGGGAAATCATGTACACAGTCTCTTTGTGTAACAAACCCATTTTCCTTTCAGTTGATGAACCATGTTTTCTGGGTTTTCAGCCCTCAAACTAAAATATTATATATGGACTGATATATTCTCTGTATCTCTCTATTAGTCTCCCACCTTCTTTTTACTTTCACTTTGAACTAAAACTCATCAGCTTGAGATTGTAAACATGAACAGTTTATTGAGTTAATAGACTCTGTAGCAAAATTCAAACAAGAAGCAGCAATTTTGTTAAGCAAAGACAATAGATTATTTGATATTATTCAGATGCCTGGGTAACAAGTATACACAATTTAACAAGCTAGATAAACTAGCAACAAGGATAAAATCAAAGCATGGTTATAGCTAGTAGTAACCACTTTACAACCACAGGCACCATAACTTACTCTCTTTACTCTTCAGGCAGTGTGTAAGCTGCAACAAACAAAAACCAATCAAATTGAAGCCAAGCCTGGAAGCATAATGGAAAAATATTCAGCGAAAAGCTAAGAATATGCCAGCTTACCTCCACACTGGTAACCCACAGGACGATCAGCAAGGTTGCAACGCTTGGGGATGGTTATGGCTATCTCGGGCTTGACACCGGAGCTCTTAGCTGTATTAGACAGCATAACAGCACATAGGCATTTGGGGTTCTGGGCCAGTTTCTTGACTGCTTGGCAGCACTGGCCGGAGACTGGAGCCTTCTCATCTTGCCAGCCATTCACAGGGAACGAGCTTAAAAGCTTCCCTATCAGGGGATGATTTCCCACATTACCAGCCCCATCAACTCCATTATTGACCCAGAAATGCCCAAATTCCAGAAACACAAGAATGCAAGTGTACTTCTGGAGTTTCCATTTTCTTCAATGCGATGCACAAACACTCCACAATCTAGCAGGATTTATACTGAAACATGCAGCTAAAGATATCTTTACACGTCAACTCCAAATCATAGTGGAAGAACCACTAAAACCAAAAGTCACTATTTTCTCACCAAACACCCTATTGCAGATGAAGATTACCAACTATTTTAGCAAATAACTTTTAGTGCTTTCGAAAGCTTTAGCCACCCTTCCACTAATTTTCTATCCTTCAAAATATATAGCAATCGAACACGTTTCACAATCAACTAACACTACATCAATGCAACAATTTCAAACTCTACTAAACTAGCTTGCCACCCCTACAACTACAAATATCTCGAAACCAACCAATCCCAATTTACAATAAACCCAATTTAAAAAAACAAAAAAAAAAAAAGTTAATTCATTAACATCAAATTTTCATCAGAATTTTTATTAACCTAAGAACGCATCTCTCCTGTCAATTCATAGTTCTTAACTAAACCATTACACAGCACACAAGAACAATAAGACGACCAAAAAAAAAAAAAAACTAACTAGCCTTAGAAAAGCGTACAAAACAACAGAAACATAAACAACAACGCACAGGGACCAAATCACAAGCGGCACAATGGCGCAAAACCATGCCCACTTCCATTCGCACACGACAGCGTCCCAAGTTTGATTTGAACGAGATTAACCAACGCGATCATCAAACAAATACATCCAGCAACCGACCCGACACCGAAACCAGCATCCCGACCCGAAGCAAACCTTTGTGACTTGAGCCTCGAAATCCGAATCAAAATGTGTGACTGGTTGAAACGTCGGATGGCTTGCTTCAGACTCAACGCAATGATGCTAGAAAACAAGAAGGAACTGAAGGCGTACACGTGGAAGGAGATCATGTTCTCGGCAAAGTTTGGGCCGCCTGCAATGAGATCGGTGATGAGGGTGCTGGAGGTCCCTGGGGTTCCTGCCAGCCCACGAAAACGGCGAGAGTGAAAAGGGAGTTAACGTTGACGGGCATCTAGGGCCGTTATGTGGATGCTCGTCGTCATTAAAACGGCGCGCTTAGAGATCAGACGAGGAGATTTAGATTCGGAGTTGAGGAATTTTTGGTCGATAATGAGAAAGAGGAGAGGGATCATTGGGAAGTAGTTAGCTTTATTTGAATATTTGGTCCAGAGTGAACGTACGCATTTCACGTTGAAAGCTGAAAAAGAATAGTGGCAAGTAATGTTACTAAATCGTGACATGGAATTTATATTTATATTATATGGTTTTAATTTGATTATTAAATTGATCATTGGAAAGTTGTTGCTTTATTGCTCGTTATTGACTCATTGTAATATTATTAACTAAACATTTTATGTTGGGTAATTACCCATTCATCATAATCATACATTAGTTTTTTTTTTTAATGTATAATAAATTGGATCGGATTTTTTATCCGAAATTTTTTTTTTTTGAATGATCGAGAGTGTGGGTTAGCTTACGCGTACCTCAATAATCCTTTGAACCTTGGAACTACCGTCGATAAGAATTCTAATTGCCACCTCTATTAGCAACCGTGGAGACTCGAATCGGAAGATCATGTTAGATCCCCCTCTTGTTTTTTTACCCTCAAGGACACTCGCATATAGGAGACCATGTTAGATCATTCTCTTAGGACTTTGGAGACCATGTTAAATCTTCCTCTTGTTTTTTTACCTTGGGGAACCGACTTCAGAAACCATGTTAGATCTTTTTTTGCTCTTTTACCATCATGCCACAGTAGTGGTTTTTGTCCGAATTAACTTTTCACAAAGTACGATTAATTATAAGGGTGTAAGTATTCATTCCGAACCTATAAATCTCCATGTTTCTTTCACTAAATCTATGACCCCGACAACGATAGTAGTGTATATTTATTTTATCTGCCTGCGTTGTTAATTTATGTTTATAACAGATGGCATGCCCCGCATTGGCGGGTTTATTTATTAAATTATTTTTATTTTATTATTGAATTTTTATATTTTAAGAAATCGTAAACGATTATTGTTTCACAAAAAAAAAAAAAGGTCAAATATTTTTAATAGATTTTTTTTATCAGTTTTTTTTATGTTTAAAGAATTTTCTTTGGAAGTTTTCGGTTCGATTAAAGTAGAGTATCTTCTGCATATGAGAGAGTTGTTATCTTTTATTCATAAGAAAAATACATAAGTTTGGTTATAAATTGAAGACTGTAATAACAATTGTAATGGCAAGAGAAATTGTTTCAACATCAGATGGTCCCCTGAACTGAGGTATTCTACAAAACCTTAAAACCAGCTGGACAAACTCAACACTATCAGAGTGATGAAAAAGATATTATGAATGTTTTGTTAGAAATAACAGCTCAACATGCATAATATTCGATTTACGAAACGTGAATCCCTGATTGTTACCAAAGAAAAAGACTTGGTATTCCTCAAGGAAAAAAGTAGAACTATATGATGTTATGCTTGAACTGCTAAAAATTAACAATGGACATGTAAAAGTAGATAGTAGAAGGATATAATATATCATTGATGTTATTACCGCACGCTTCTATTTGTTTGGATTTTGGATTGACAAGTTGGTTTTTCGTCTTCCATTTGTTAATGATATCTGTGTGAAATGAAATAAATATTTGAAGGTGTATGGATTGTTGGTTTGTCTATTCTTATATAGCTTTAGATGCATTGAATGACGTTTGTATGAACGATTGCGAACAAAAATTAGTAATTTTCAAATTAAAAAGGAATGTGAAAGATCTCAAATTAAAAGAGATGTGAAAGATCTATATTGAATACATTAATTGAATCATGTGAATAAATCCCTATATACAATCTCTAATATTCATGGAAATCAATAACACACCATGTGAATCATTAGTATTTATCAAATTAAAAGAGAATTGAAAGATCTCAAATTAAAAGGGAATGTGCAAGATCTATTTGAATATATTAATTGAATGAATGTGAATAATCCTTATTATAGCAATCTCTTAATATTCATGGAAATCAATAACACACATGAATCATTAGTAATTATCAAATAAAGAGGAATGTGAAAGATCTAGAATTAAAAATGAAATATATCGTCAGAATCATATATTGAACAGTTGTATGTAATATATTAATGGTTGTATGTAATATATTAATGGTTAGTTATTTTTTTATGACGTTTGTAATGTAAATACATTTTTTATTATTCATTCCATATATATAGAAAAAACAAAACAAAAAAAAGACTGTGTACATACATTTTTATCAAATTAAAAGAAATGTAAAGATTTGTATTGAATACATTAATTGAATGCATTTGAATAGTCCCTTTTAGCAAGCCCAATAAACACAACACGTGACCAATTAACGACATCTTACATGGCGATCATATTCAATCCTACGTGGCATCAGAAGAAGCAATCTGCTTCAGCATTATATAGATATATAAAGAAATGTGAAAGATCTCAAATTAAAGAGAATGTGAAATATTTGTATTGAATACATTAATTGAATGCATGTGAATAATTCCATTATAACAAGCCTCAATAAACAGCAAACACGTGGACCAATTAACGACATCCTACATGGCAATCATATATCTCCTACGTTCGTTAGAAGAAGCAGTCTGCTCAACATTATATAGATATATATGTTGTTTGTTAATAAGACTTAGTGTTTAATTGTTTAACTAAATATTTAATTTAAATTTTGATGGACCTCCTGGGATGAGTAAGTCTCATAATAGATCTTATACTTTACAATTGTAGTTCAAGCTTCTTTATACTTTTACAATTTTCC